CCGCACCCCGCACTTCAGTTGATGTCTATAATTAAGGAAACCTCTCCCTCCCTTCAAAACTATTTCGGGGTGAACGTTTTTATTATTATTGAAAATTTGCTGCCCATTTATCTTTGCTTCCCATAATCCCCAGTCCCTTTCATTATTTGAAGGCAGTTTGAATGAGATCATTAACATGCATGTGCCGCCCATTTATAGGGGCGTTACGGTGAAGCTACCCTAAAATTTTGGGAAAAACTCGGAATAGGGAAATTAACAATAAATATAGTTTTTGATTTATCAACAATTATTTTTAGATATTATAAATACTCTGTTAAGTGAATCCATCTCAAGAATTGAATTTAATCACAGACTAACTCACACAATTCTTTGTAATGCAAACATTTTCCTTCAAAAAGTTTCAAATCTCAGAAGCCACACAAACTTTCAAGGGAATGTTGGCCAAAAGTTAGCACCTTGCATAATTTATTTACACTTGTAAGTTTACCATTCTGGAAACTATTTTTCTTAGTCGGGAAATGTACACGATATAAGTATGTGGGTTAAGAAGTGTCAGAAAATAGGGGGGAAAGTCAGGGGAAAAGCTAACCGAAAGAAATCAAGTTGAATTGTTTGTGCGGGTTAAAGTTTGATTGATGTGCCGTGTCCCGCGTGCAGACAACATGAAAATTAGTTGAGAGACTCTTGAAAGTTGCGGAATGGAATGGGGACTCGGATATATTCCCAGTATAGTTGGAATGGAATGATTGACGGTTAGGCAAACGAGCTGGGCATTCTGAAAACGCTTTAAAAAACAGCCAACGAAAAATGAGAAACAGAAACAAACTGCCATGTAACTTGATCTATGGGCTGTGTAATTCATGAGGGCCTCAAATTTGTATAGTATAATTCCAACGAAAGAGAAAATCTTTGAAAGGAAACATTTTCAAGTGGAAATGGGAGCAGAACAGTTGGTTTTTGGTTGTGGAAATAACAAGAAGAAATTTATAAATTAGGCATTTTAAAGACTTTTTTGAAACTATTGAAATGTTTAATGCTTTTAATTATTTAATGAAATCAAAGCTCATTAAAATAGATATTAAAGACACATTCACATGTGTGCATACTCAAATATCAATGAAAATTGTATCAAGAATATAAAAAGCCCAATGCACAACCTTGTAAATGTGGGTATATCAACGGGATTTTGAGGCATTTCAAATCCCTTACCCTTACAGCCTTTTGATATCTTCAGTTTATCCCTTATGCGAAAAGAATATCAGATTCAAGTGTATTGTGTGTGTTTTAGGGCCTTTTGCTGAGACCCCGGTGACCACCCAGAAACACGCCCACTTGAACCCGATTGCTATCGCCCAACATTAGGACCATGTGTCTGTTTCATCATTAACTTGAGTTGCCGCATGAGGAAGTTACTTGGGTGTCCTGTGAGGGATTCCTGCCGGTGTCCTTCTTGTATATGTATGATCTATCTGTGTGTGTGTTTGTATGCGGCTTTTGCATCATTGGGCAAACAAAGCAGAGCCTGCTGCGGGTTTGCTCTAGTGGCTGCCATTGCTGCATGCTGCATGCAGCATGTGTTGCATGTTGCATGTTTCTGCGAGTTGGGAGTTGGGGGCTGACACAGTTTCCTGTCGGCCTGCAGCACTTGAGTGCGTGTTGCTAATTGAGCGCATCACTAAAAACACCCAGCTGCCACAGACAGAGAAAATCAGCGAATTGATATTTTAAACAACTTCGTAAACTTAAAAAGAAATATAAGGAATGCTTGTAATAGCTAATTAAATCCCTCAGTTAATTCAGACGATATATATCAACTGTGTAATTGATTATTGATGATTATGCTTATGATTACTTGTGGAACATTTCCTTTTCTTATTTCTCTCTGTGCACAATAAGTTTTAGCATCTGGGGAGGGACAAAACAGGGTTTTGTGTGCACAATAAGCAAAAGAGAAGAAGGTTGTCCCTCTGCCACAGCAGCATATCAAATGTCCGATATGTAGAGAAGCCATGCAAAATGGAATTCGCGGTGGGCTGCGCATGCGCAGAAAACCGCAAAAGCCAAAGGGTGGGGGAGGGAGGAGGGAGGAGGGAAAATCCATAGCCAAACCCTAACCGAAGCAAAGCAAACCCATTCTGCAAAGAGCGTGCCAGAGACAGCCACGTGGAGATTCCATTGCTGCCAATGCACCTCGCTTCAGTCAGCCCCACCTGACCCCTGCTCATCATCATCCAACATCCAACACCCAACTCACCCAACCGACCAACCCTTCCCCCAAAAACACTTTGCTGTTTCCCACTACCATGACCCCCTCGATGATGGCAATTTAACGCCTGTTTTGTTTGATGGAAGGACAACTGGCAGTGGGCCACCTGCTTGAAAAGCACCGAGAGAAAGTGGGGGGAACTGCCGACACAGATAATTTGATATTCGCAGATGCAATAGATATTAAACCTGGCTCACTCTCTTTTTGGTTAAGTTAATACTGTGGATGGAAAACACACCTTAACCAATTGGTTTCATTTATTTTTGGAGCGAAATCAGTTTTTAGCATATTCCAAATTACAGTAGGAACATTAGTTAACAATTTGAATGCTGCAGATTTACTTGAGCTTGAGCTATGCATTGATTCTCCCCCGAATTCAAACAAAAGGGAAAGTCATGATAGTTAATATAAAAATACTAAACTAAAATCATAATTTTGAGAGTTTCACACTACATTTTAATATGCAGATATCTCGTTGTTCTAGGTAATTTTAGACCATTTGGCTCAGTGCCCTTTAGACGGGTTGGCCATCATGTCAACGCCTCTGGGCTTCGGTGGCCTGTGGCAAAGGCGTCATTGACTCGGGCTGAAACCAAACAAGGGCTCAACAACTAGAACAACTAGAACAACTAGGCAACGGCCAACAGTCAACAGCCAAGTGGCAACACACACACCCACTTTCCGACACCAACACCGTCACAAACGGACACATCGACACTCGGCCATCATCATCACATCATTATCGCCATCACCGCTATTGAAATCGACATTATTCGCACGATGGACACACGACACAAAGATCAACAAGCGTTGTGGGGTGCAAATTCTGCAGTTGACCAATTGATTGGCATCCTCGGCGGTTTCAAGATTGTTTTCCAAGTGCTTTCAACACGCTTTCAGTGGCATTAGGAGTACAGTTGTGCTGAAGAACAATGTCCATGTGTTTTGTAGGTTTCTTCTTGCTTTCATAAATATTTCATCGTTTCAATATTCAAGTAGAAATAAACTACAGTAGCCAAATGCTTTCAAATGCATATTTTAAGAAACCGAATCTGTATTTTTAAGGAGGAATGTATTGGAACAGGTGTCGATGGAATCACATGAAACCCATCTTATCTGAAAACAAGACTACATTTACACAAAGTACAATTGCCCTTTTGACAATACCAAACCGATATTGAGTAATATATATGAGCAGCTTTCAAACTAATTAGTTCATTTGCGCCCCACTCGGTGGTATCGGTGTGCTCGAAGGCTCAAACTGTTCACGCTCCATAAAATTCACCTTCCTCTTTGATGTTTGCCACTGGAATGTGAATGTATGCCAATTAAATTGTGTTTATTGGTAGCCGAAACCGTATGCAGCAAGTATCTCATGCATATGTTATTCTATATCCTGAATAATTTACACACCACCAATTGGAGGTACAGTACACACACGCACACAAGAGTTTCCTTTTGGTGTCGAGTGCCTCGATGAATGCAAATTTTCCCTCTTTTGATAATTGCCTTGATATCATTGTTACACCATGTATCATAGTATCTATGCATACAAATGTCCAATATTTATGAAAAATAATTTACTCAACTACATATATTTCATCCACCCTGTTCTTTGTTATTCCAAAAAAGTGTAAAATATTGCAGTCCCTGTTTGCATTGAAAACGAATTTATAATCCCACAAACCGGTCAGAACAACAAAATATTCGTAATACGGGGGGAGAATGGAAAGTTGTAAGGTTGGAAAAACAACTGTGTCATTATTATGAATGGGTATCCTCGATACTACATGAAATTCGAAGGTGCTGAATTTCTGTAAATAAAAATATGCCCCATTATACCAAGATAAAATTCTAATCAAAACAATCAAATGCTGTTGTTTTATGATAACTAGATTCGAAATTTGCACTAAAAGGGCATCAGAAATTCGATTTGTGATAACCTCTTCATATTTTGTTTCCTTTTGCTTATGTTTCAGTCCTCTGAACTCTCCATCCCTAGAGCTTCTCGATTTCAGTTTTGGGTTCGATTTGCGTGGGCAAATTAAATAAAAATGCAAACAAAAATAGAAAAGCAAAGATGAAAATATTTTTTTACGCAAAATGAAATAATATGCGAATGTTTTTATTTCTTAAAGCTGCAATTTATTGTTGTGTCCCCTGCCATATTGTTGTAGTTCCTCCAACCTTACTTTTGTCGAAACCAAAACCGAGAGAGGTGAACATATAAAAAAACTTTCAGAAATGGAAAATAAAATGCAAGTGCAATCGATCTCGCCTTTTTGGGTGGTCATAGGGATATGGATGGTTATATATGAGTTTGGGTTCGGTTCGGTACGTATTTTCCGCACCGCTTTTTTGCCTTTGCTCTCTGAACTGCCATAAATCAAACATATTCATCTTTAAGCCTTTTGGTTTTATGCTAAAGCTGTACAAATCGGCCCTCTGAAACGTTTTTGGGTGCGAAGCTTTTAAGTAAATCCGGTTAATGTTTGATGTGGGCAGGTTTTTACGTGCGTTGATTGCGGATTTGTATATTGCTTGTGTTAAAAGTGGTGGAAAATGCAGCAATCTTGGTTAATACCGATAAGAGGCTCTTGATGCGTTTCATAATGATACAAATCAGTCATTCTAGCTAACTCTTGGCTACAGAGACACCCCATAATTAAATTCCCTGAATGCCTTCCTTGAACATAAACTAAAAGTGTCCCCCATATTTTCTCCCTTATTGCAGATGCCAATCCGCAGACGCAGCAGCAGAATCCGCTTGTCCAGCAGCAGCAGCTCCAGGCCCCACGATTCACCACGCATCCATCGTCATCGGGGTCGATTGTCAGCGAGGGCACCACCAAGATACTACAGTGTCAGGCGCTGGGTAAGTGAACAAACAAGAAATGAGTAGCAAAACAGAGTCGGAAGTCGAATGTCGAATGGGAAGTCTATCTTAGAACCATAAAAAAACTGTAAAGCATTAGGGTAATAGTTTTAAGCGAACGGAGGTGAAGGCTTTTCCAAAAAGTGTTTCTACGATCTAAGAAAATTTACCCTGAATGATAAAAAATTACAAATTTAGATATCAAATATGAGTTATATAAAGAAAGTCATATATAACAACCGTATAAGAAGAAAGTAATAATAATTTATATAATCCAGATAACATCATTGTATTCATTAAATGCTCTCCACAACAAACATTTTTAGGGTGACAAAGTAAAAGGATCTTGCAATTAATCTAACAAAATCAGTTAAAAGTTCGCTAACAAAACAACGCTAAACTGGGTAAAATGGGGATAATAATCCTAAGTAAACATTTTTTTTTTTATTTTATTATGTCCGGGGAATCAGAGGCGCCACCTGCTAGGCGTGTCACATATAATGCCCACCGTGGGTGGAGTTATAGTAGGAATAGGACCCCCTCTCCGGTGAGGTTTGGCCACCCTCTTGCGTTGTCCTTTCGGCTTCTAAACACACAACACTTGTCCCTCAAAACGCCTGACAGCTAAGCTGAAAGCAAAAGAGGGGGCTTAGTGTAAAACGAAACCATAAACGAAAACACTTTTTTCTCTCCTGTTCTCGTGCGCTCTTTTGAAAGATAATGAAGTAGAAAAACAATAACTTTTATGAGGTTTCCCCCAGCTGGTTCTTTTTTTTCTTAACACGAATCCCGACTCCACGCCCACTTTCGCTCCCAGTTGGCCAGGCCATCCTGTAATCCTTTGAGCGCTTTAGGGCGTGCCCGAAGTCCAGAGTCCCAGGCTCCCAGGTTCACGTAATGCTTCCCGTGCCTCCTGTGCCTCCCAAACTGCCGCCTGCATTTGACAGTTTCGAGTATCGGTTTCATATTGTCCGCCCTCCCGAAAATGAGCCGAAAAAGAATGAAATGTTATGAACTTACTTTGGGCCGGCCGCCTGTGTCCTTCGGCCTTGTTTTTGAATACCCTTGCAAAGGCTATTCGGATTTGGTCAGTATCCGACCATATAAAGTTTAGCATGAAACTAATCACAATTGTTTGTTTCCTAGTGGATGTTTCATATAAATCAGAACTAACATAAAAATCATTGGGAACGATTAAATGATGTATAGGAGTATCTGAACAAATTACCGTAACTTCATTGTATTTATTTAAATTATTATTTGAATTACATTTATTTAACTAAGATCTTTCATCAAAATCAGATGTTGTTATTGTTGTTATATTGACAAGTGACGAGGGTATTCAAAAGTTCGCTTTCCAAAGTTAGCTTGTTTTCTTGTTTATGATTTTTTTTTTAAGGTCTACCCACCACGTCCACGTGCGCTCGTCTCCGTCCGTTTTCCTCGAAGTCCGTGCTTGTGTTTTATGGCCACCGGATTCGCAAAATTAGTCGTGAAAAGTCCGGACTCTTGGGGAGGAATATATGCCTTGTTTGTGATGTCTTAATTGGCGAATTGGCTCACGGGGAATTTTTAAAGACCGCTGGTGGACGCCAACGTTTAAGGCACACCGGTAACTCCGATTAGACGCTTGTGATGTAATCATTTAAGGTTTGGCTCGCGTAAAGATGCTTCTGGAAATTAATAGGCGAAGATGGTGGTCAATTGTTTGAGATGAAGTACAAAGGAGTTGAGCTATTGGCCAATCCAGGACTCGATTGGGGTGTTGGTTACATACTTTTTATACCCTTGCAGAGGGTATTATAATTTTGGTCAGAAGTTTGTAACGCAGTGAAGGAGACGTTTCCGACCCCATAAAGTATATATATTCTTGATCAGGATCAATAGGGGAGTCGATATAGCCATGTCCGTCTGTCCGTCTGTCCGTCTGTCCGTCTGTCCGTCTGTCCGTCTGTCCGTCTGTTTCAATACCGTTTGCGAGCTCAGTTTAAAAGCTAGCGATCTGAAACTTTCACAATCGTCCTAAAACATGTGTACGCAGATCAAGTTTGAAAATCGCCCCGATCGGACGTCTATATCCTATAGCTCCCATAGGAACAATTGGATATATCTTGCAAGAATTTATGATATTTCGCGCAGTGTAAAAGCTATTGACATTAATCTTTACAAATCGTATTTTTTTATGCATACCTTGATCAGGGTAAAAGCGCGTGGCGATCGGACGTCTATATCCTATAGCTCCCATAGGAACAATAGGGTAAAATCGGTTAAAATTTAATGATTTTTAGGATATTTCGCGCAGTGTAAAAGCTATTGACATAAATCTTTCCAAATCTTATTTTTTTATGCGTACCTTGATCAGGGTAAAAGCGCGTGACGATCGGACGTCTATATCCTATAGCTCCCATAGGAACAATAGGGTAAAATCGGTCCAAATTTGATGTTTTTCAGAATATTTCGCGATGTGTAAAAGCTATTGCTGTACATTTTTTCAAATCGTATTTTTTTATGCATTCCTTCATCAAGGTAAAAGCGCGTGCTGATCGGACGTCTATATCCTATAGCTCCCATAGGAACAATACGGTGAAATCGGTCAAAATTTCATGTTTTTTAGAATATTTCGCGCAGTGTATAAGCTATTGACATACATTTTTCCAAGTCTTATTTATTTACGCATATCTGTATTAGGGTAAAAGCGCTTGCCGATCGGACGTCTATTTCTTATAGCTTCCGTAGGAAAAATAGTTAAAGGCTGCGAAAGTATCCCTTTTTTTCTATTTTTATATGACATTTTTGCAGTATAAAAGCAATTGACATTAAACGATGCAAATCTAGTTTATTTATGTATACCTTATTCCTTTCGCTACTTTTTCAGTTTTAGCAATTTCGGCAAAGTCTGCAAGGGTATTAAAACTTCGGCTTGCCGAAGTTAGCTTCCGTCCTCGTTTAATGTTAGATTTTGTATTCCCTTTAAACTAAGGGTGGGGGGGTTGAGCCCCCTAGGATCATGGCCTGAATTCAGTTTCTTTATGAGAAGGGAGCTTAAAGAACGCTGACCACAAGCATTTAAACATACAACACTTAAACTAATAACAAGGGAATATTCCAAAACCAATTATTGCCAAAACAAGAAGGTATGTAATGATGAATTCTTAAACAAATAGAAGTTAATCCAACCATAATAAGGATGGATCGTCCGACCCCCCACAAAAACCCTTCCAAAATAACTGATTGTGGGGGATTTCAGGCTTAATCGCAGTTGGTTTTTTTTTTTTTGGTTGGTTTAGTTGGAGAAGAGGGGAAGGGGGTCCCAATGCCTAAGTTTGTCGTTGGCATTTGATGCACATTTGAGCGGCAAGCACCCACACTCAAACACGTGTGGGTATCTGTGTTTCTGTGCGCATTTATGGGGATCTATGCAACGACACCCGAGAGCCGTGCACTTTGCATAAGCTGCAAGTGGGCACCCAAAAAAAGAAAACTACAAAAAGAAATAGGGAAAACAGCGAGCGAGCGAGAGAAGGAAAATAAAAACAAATGCAAATCTCTTTAGCTGCTCTTTGGCGTTGTCACACATGCCGCAACGTTCGCGCTTTCAGTCACTTTGGCGGTTTTAGCTGTCATCTCCTCCCTTTCCCTTGAAAAACAAAAACAATAGTGAGTGTGTGTGTGTGTGTGGGGGGAGGTTGCTTTTTTCTCCCCATGAGGAAGTTCGCCTCCTACCTTTTAAGCGTTTCGGTTGCGATTTTTTTTGCTTGTGACCATGGTGGGACTCTCAAGTAAAACAAGTTTTCCATCACTCAGTCCCCCCTTTTTCTCCTATTTCCTTCTCATCTTGGCTCTGCTTAACGTTAGTTCGCGTTTTGTGCCGCGAAAATCGAGAAACAACACGAGAATAAACTCCCTTGTAAAGGGAATTCAAGTTGAAACTATGGAAATGCCCTATAAAAATAAGAAAATTAATTTGGCAATTGAACATCTTGATTTAATGGGATACTGCCAACCTAGTGCCTAGATATCCTTAAGTCCAGTGAGTTTTTAAATCACTTAAACTTTTAATTAGACTCTCTAGAAGCTCACAGAATTTATGTTTCATTATCGGTTCAGTTTCAAAGAATAGGTGCTAACGGAAAATAAAGCTGGTTGTACTTATATTTTGGCCCTAACTAAAATATCCCATTGAGGGAACTTCAGTGGCATAACAGAAGCATAAAAGCTAAGCAAAATGTGTGTGGAATTGTTTCTGGCCAACAAAATGAAATGCGATGAGGCCGAATATTGGGTAGAGCGAGAGGGGTGGCATAGAGTGAGAGGGGAGATTCTTGGGGCTTCTTTTTCACCTTCTACTTCTTCCTCTTCTTTGGCTGCCTCGCAAATGTAGCGCATTCACTTGCAACAAAGACTTTTTTTATGACAACAACAAAAGCCGCCAAAGCTGTTTTCAGTGGCAATGCTGCAAGCCCAACATGTGTCGAACAAGGAGGGGGCAACGAAAAAGAAAGAGACAACAAAAAAATGAATTTCTAGAAGAAAAGGAAAAGGAAAGCAGGGGAAAGGGGAAAGGAAAACAGTTTGGAGACACACCCGGCAGAAACGTGCGTTAAAGCCTTTCTTCTACATTTCTAATACAGAGATAAAAACAACAACTGTTTGTCATTTTAAATATATAATTTTATATGAAGTATTAACTCTCACTCCAAAAACTCTCCTTAAAAATAAATATTTACAAACGGTAATTAAATCTATCTTTGAATATCACTAATGTTCTTCAGAGTTCTTTTTTATGTGTCCAGATATTATCAGTCATTGGTGAATTTTTCTTTCTGTGCACTTTTCTCCTACTCCTTCGACCGGTGTGAGTGAAAAACACTATAAGAAGCAGAAGAAGGTACGCTGAGAAATTGCAAACTATTGTTTTTGTTGTTTCCAGCTTTTTGTCGCAATGTTTTTTACTCTCCCCCTTTTTTTTGTCCCCACTGCCGTAAATTCTCTTGTTTACT